ATTTTCTTTTCTTATCAACCTTCTTACATTATTTTTCACTTCTAAATGTCATTACTAGATCCGCTTGTGACTGCTATAACCAGCTTGACCAACGCCAGGTTATTCTCTGAATTCCAGTAAGCACGCAACTTGAATAATTTATTCTAAGGTGTCTACGTAAGCGCAGGATAACTCTAGTTCGATTCCAAGTGTGTAATGCTCAATGTTGCAAAATGCCTTCCGATCGGTCATTATTCCTCGCGTGACGATCGACGATGTACAGTTCAACTGGAGGAGATAAGAAATTTGTTTTGGGGAAATTGATAGATTAGATCGCTTTCAGCAGTTGCTCCCCCTTTTTCGTCGGTGAATTATTGATGATTTGACGCTGCGAATGCGTCAGAATAATAAATTTATCAAATTCATGACAAAGTTTGGTATTTTCCTTTCTCCTTTTTAAGGCAGAATCAATATGGCTAGTTGATAATATTTTGCGCGAAACTTTTGGTCACTGTGGAAAGTCGTCAGAAATGTTTTGTGAAGTGTCCGATGGAGAATAATTTGCCGGACGGAAAAAGAAATAGGTCTAGGGTGTGACTTAGGCAGGAATACACGCACCAAAAAATTCTATTGAATTTCTATTGGAAATTCCATAAGTTTTTGGCCGATTCTGTTGAAGAATTCCGCGGCTTTACCTCGCGTTTTTTATAGAAAATGTCCGATAGAATTTTTTTTATAGAAAAAATCCGAAAAATTTCATTTTTATATGGAAATTTTTCTATTGAGACATTTTCTATAGAAATCTGTCAACATGAATTTTCCAAGTTTTTAAATTTTATTACAAAATAAAATTAAAGAATTTGGGAAATTTGAGGCAAGTAATTTCTATAGAAAATCTATCAATAGCATCACTTCTATAGAAAAATTTCATAGAAAAATGGACTTTCAATTCTATTTTTTTTTTTCTTTTTAAGGGAAATTCCATAGAATTCAATTTTTCAACATCAAACATCAAATTAAAAAATTCGATTTAAAAAAAATTTAACATACGAAATTTAAAATGTGATTTTTCTATAGAATATTTTTAAATTCCATAGAATTTAATTTTTCTATAGAATATTTTTATTGAAAAAAAGTATAGATGGGCTGGGGAATTTTTCAATGGGATCAGCCAAAATCTAATAGAAAGTTCAATAGCAATCTAATAGAATTTTATAATAAATTCGCTAGATATTGTAGATCTCAATTCTTAAATTATGAATATTCACGGAAAAAAGAGGTATTCCATGTCAACTCAGTCAACCCCTGACCCTCAATTCCTCGAAAGTGAATGGAAAATTATTCTAGATTTCTATTAAAATTCTATTCGTTTTTGGCCGATTCTATTTTAAGAATTCCACAGCTTTACAGCACTTTTTTATAGAAATTTTTCTATTGAGACAATTTCTATAGAAATTCCTCCACATGAAATCCAAGTTTCCAATTTTTTTCCGCCTTTTCTTTTTTCATTGAAAAATAATATTAAAGCACTTGGAAAATTTGAGGCAAGTAATTTCTATAGAATTGATATATCAATAGCATAAATTGTATAAAAAAATCGAATTCTATTGTTTTTTTTTAAGAACATTTTTCATTGAATATTTTTATTGAAAAAAAATATAGATGAGCTGCGGAATTTTTCAATGGGATTGACTAAAAATTAATAGAAAGTTCAATAGCAATCTAACAGAATTTTACAACAAATTCACTAGGATTTTCTATGAAATTTTTTCGTATGTGGATTGTTGATCTCAATTCTTGACTGTTTACAGAAAAGGAGGGGTATTCCATCAGAAAATCGGTCAACCCTTGACAAAAAATCACTTTTGAGAGGGCGAGGGTCAATTCAAGACCCCTAAGGTTCTTATCTTAAGAACCCTAAGTTTCTTATTGAAAAGATTGCCTTAAAATACGAGAAAATGTACCCTAATTCAAGTAAAATTAACTCTTCATTTCAGTAAAAATGACTGAGAACTAAAACTTTCTTCTCCAATTTTTAAAAGAAAAATTCTTTCAGAAACAGTGAAAATTTCACTTAAACCCAGACCCTTTCCCGACGAGATTTCAGTACCACAGGTTTCTGAAATCCGCCTATTTGTCCTGAAAACTGAATACTTCTTTCACTCCGTCGAGTCCCTGGAACTAAAATTCAAGACCTCAAGGCTCTTATCTTAAGAACCCTAAGTTTCTTATTTAAAATCCCTTGAGATTCCGAATTCTAAAACGGAGATTGCCTTAAAATACGATAAAATGTGCCCTGATCCAAGTAAAAGTGACCCTCAATTTCAGTAAAAATGACTGAGAACTAAAACTTTCTCCTCCAATTTTAAACGAAAAATTTTTTCAGAGAAAGTGAAAATTTCACTTAAACTCAGGCCCTTTCCCCCCCAGATTTCAGTAGCGAAGCGGTAAGCCCTGTCAAGTCTATTTTGACTTTTGGTCAGTTTTTGATGAATATCTCGGAATCTAATAGAGATAGCAAAATTTTAATCATTACCTTTTTCATAACCCTTAATTGGCTCTACAAAAAAGGTCATAACAAAAAATTTTCCATCTCTTCTAGATTCCCAGACATTCGCCAAAAACTGGACAACAGTTAAAATCGACTTGACCCAGTTTACACTGTTGAAAAAAAAATGAAATTTCGTGGACAGTTAACTATAAATTTTCAGGACCATGACATTGAATGCGATTTAGGGGAAAAAATCAAGAAAACATTACCGAAAATTTCAGGTTTCACTGAAAATTCAGTAAAATTCCAGAATTTGCAGCATAAAAGCGAGAATTCCTTAATTTATTTGAATTTCCAATCTAATATGAATATTCAGTGTCAAATTGCATTGAATTTTCTGTGAAATCTGAAATTTTATGATTTTCTTCTCCCTATATCGCATTAAGTGTCACTATCCTGAAAATTCCAGAACATATTTACCGGAATTTTCTGCTTTTTTATTCATTTTCAGGGAAAAATGGACCGGAAATTTACAGTTCTGTTCGATTTTTCCACGAGATTCTGAATTTTCAATGACCCGATGTCCGGAAATTCCAGTGGAATTGGACCACGATAAAAATTTCCGGAATTTGGCACGGAAAATTCAGACAAAATTTTTAACAATGTACCGCTTGGAAATCCCCCTATTTGTCCTGAGGACTGAAAACTTTTTTTCCTCCGTCGAGTCCCCGGAACTAATCCCCAATTCCAGCTCAAGCAAAACGTTCGCATATCATGTGCTCAACCCCAAATATTCCCCAAAGCCTAGCATTTTCATACGCCAACCCCGCAATTCCCGGAGTCGCTTCACCAATATGCACAGCTGTTTATCAGTTAAATCAGGAATTGATTCAGTCCGCGAAGGAAAAAAAATTGTCGTGACGAGTGAGCATATAGGCATCGGCAAAATGGTACAAGCGAGCGCATGAGACACGAAACTGTTGAAAAAAGAAGGTAAATATATAGGTATGCAGAGGATCGAATGTTGCCCCGGGTCGTTGCCTTCGGGATGTGGTTACGTAAGATAGAAAGAAAAAACGAAAGAAAAATTGATGAGTTGTCCCCTTCTTCTCCATGAACCCACCCACCGCCTGCCTGTCTGAAAAAGGGGTCTGCCGAATATTATGGCAACGACAGATAGTACGTGTAACTACTGGATTTTTTGGTTCTCTGCCAACGTTCGACTCGGCATTCATCTAGATTCACTGTACATAAATGCATATATGTACAAATACCAGGGGGAAAAACCCCCCGAACGTTCATACTCACATGGGAGCCAAATTTACTAAACCCCGAGTCGAACGAATAACATATATTTCAGGTGCATAACCGAAGAGTGTGTGAGCCTCCAAAATAGAACTAAAAATAACAAACCTAGAAAATTCTCTAAAAATAAGTGCTTGAGAAAAATTATACTGATCCTCCCGTTGTTTATTGATAAATTAGAAATTTTATTGACTCTTCAACTAAAATAAACAATATTTTGTCGTTATCATAATCTCTTCAATAAAAAATTGTTTCATCCATCCTCCCCCCCGCGAAAACTCTTATATTCAAGTACATATCTACAATCATAAAAATGATATATAATCTAATAATAAATCGTATAATAATATTTCAATAATACTAATTTTAACAGGAATTGTAATGGCAATTGATACATATATATGGGTAATAATATTGATTGATTCATTCTATCTATATGAAGTGAATCCTTCAGTCAATCGACGGATCACTCTAGTAGAGTGGGTAACAGAGTACATAGCTAACAATATATACTGCCTATATACATGTATACGCCGGGCTGGATTCACTTTGGTTAATTAAATTAAGTGTTTCACCTTGGTATAGAATGACGCAACGACTTCCGGGCATTATGTTTCGTCGGCATGTGTTTTTTTTTTTCATCATTTCATATACTTTCTCCTGGAAATATTGCACTCCAAAATTACACTTTTTTCGCTGTTACCCCGGTAAAAAAAAAGCATGCGACAATGGTAAATGACCGGAAGGGCCGTTGTTTTTTTGCGCGTGCAGTGAGCATACGAAAACAAAATGAAACAAAAGGTCACTCTTGCAAATGTACTTATTTTTAGATATTCCTTTTCCAGACTGGTTATCAAATGAGTAAAAAAAGAAGTAGTGATTAGTTGAAAATAGAGCATGAATCAATACGCGTGGTGAATTCTGTTTGTGTTGCTTTTATAGCCAATATCAACTGTAGAAAACATTCCACCCTTACCCTTAATCTCATTTTGTTTCGGATTGTCTCACATGCACATGGTAGAATTGACATAAACTATCTATCGCATGATAAATACTGAACTTCTTTCAAATCCATTATGCTTCGTAATAACTGCTTGCGTTACGTGGCAGCATAGTCGAGTCCTCATTTCATTTTTTCAATGCTTTTTGGGTAACTTTTAATATAATTTTTAATGATTAGTCACTCTGTTAAATTGTAAAATAACAAGGACAAACAATTATGGAATTGATTAAATCATGAGAAATCTATCAGAAGTATAGGATTTGGATTTGTTTTTTTTTCACATTTTTCAATTATTGGACGAATCCTCGATTTACCTCGCTCTCGCTTTTGTGAATCATAGTTTGTTGATAACGATGCATTCATCGATTGTATTTATTAACAAAGATTGGAGATAATTGATGGAGAATCATGTATGGAATAAGAATACTTTTTAGCGACCTCTCACCCATCGTAACAGAGCATCCGCTAGGACATCCAAGTGTGCTTTTGTCTGAAACAAAGGAGGAAAATTTTGTTAGGAACGGTGCACTGTCAGAATTTTTTTGTAATACCTGCCTCAAAACTTCACTTTTCGAAACAGTTTAGTGTGTGTAAAGTGGTTGTTTTACGCACGACCTTGAACTTTACACGGAGAGAAATATTCAAGAAAAATTACGGAACATTTCACGTAATCCGCAAGCGAGAATCGTTTTCAGTGAATTTCTATAGGAATATAAGAGAATAAATCTGAAACGTTCAGTAAATTTTCGGGTCTGTCACCGAAAAAATACGAAAAAGTCACGTAATTCTTCTGGAAGTTGTAAAATCTAACAGAAACTTCAAGACTTATTATGCCTCAGAACATGAAAATTCTTGGATGTTTAAGAATTTTTACGAAAAGTTCCAGAAAAATTACGGAACGTGTTGTTAAAATCTCCCCCTAACGGTGACTCATGGCTAGCCGTGAGGCGTCGGACGGATGAGTAATTTTTACGGAATAGATCGTAGAATTTACGTGACGATTGACATTTTTTACTGAATTTTACTTCGCTCCCAGATTACGTTTTGAAACGTAATTTTTGCGTCTTTTTTCTGGTAATTTTTATTGAATATTTCTCTCCGTGTACGGACACCGTGCACAAAACAACCACTTTACCCCCACTACGGTTCCGAACAGTGAACTCGGCAGGTATTACAAAAAATAGGATGTGTTACGCGTGCGTGCGAAAAAGTGGTTCTTTACGCACTTGTAACACAATATACTATTTTGAAATTTCATGGACGATGTTATAGTAAATCTCATGAGAGTGACATTGAATCGGATTTAGGGAAAAGATGGTTATGAAATTTCAAGTTTTATGTTGAATTCACGGAAATTCATGAGTATTTAGTAGGAGTAACATGGAAATTTCACTACTTGATGGAATTTTCAGTGGAACATAAATATTTAGAAACAAAATGATATAAATTTTCAATTTTTCCCTGAATTTTCCTGATTTTTCTGAATTTTCACAGAATAATTGAACTGAAACATCAATGGAATATTTGATTTTTCAATGACAAGATTTCCTGAAATTTCAGTTAATCTTGAATACGATAAAAATTTCCGGAATTTGGCACGGAAAATTCAGATGAAAATTTTTAATAGTGTGGGCTTTATACACTGAGAGAAAACATTAGATCTACCGAAAAACGATATGTGCCACCCAGGGATAGCCATATCATTAATATTATTACTGTTAAATTATTAAGTTGTCAATTAGTTAACATCACTTTTTAATTTTAATTATTGAAATAATCATCAATTTATATAGTAAAATTTGGAATTATTCATTGATCAGTAATTGAGTTCGGAAGATTGACGATATTATTTGGATAATCCGAAATCCCTTATGAGAAATTTAGTATTATCGACAGCTGGCGCCCCCACTGGAAAAAAAAACCAAACAGCAAAATAAAAAATATATCAAGGTGAACAAAGCAGTTGAAGAAGGAAATTTTGATTTCAAATAGATTGTTTTCAACAAAAAAAATGCAAACCACAGAATAATTTGTGTAAACACAGCTTCAATTTTGTGTTATGAATGACGAATTCATTACTTAATTATTGATTTGGTATTTCATGGCTTCATCAAACGTTGACAAATAAAATATTGATGATTAACGCAGATTTCAGAATATTCTTATGAATTTTAAATGTCTATTATCGGCGAAATTCTGAAATCAGCAGAATTTCACCGATCACATCAGTCGATTCAGCTGAATCCTGAATGTTTTATATATTTTTACTGAATTATTATATAAGAAAACGTCTTAATTGTAATGATATTCTCAGAACTCAAAAAGAAAATTTTTTATTCGTATTGTTTCCTTGTTTTTGCGTGAAAATTCCGAAAAAGAATTTCGTCTCACTTCTGCGTTTTATTGCGTAATTTTTCCTGGAAATTTTTCACCGAGAAGTATATGTTGAAAAAAATTTGCAAAAGTAGTGGCGAAAAGTCAAAGCGATTTTTTTTCCGATCAAGCAAGCCTTGTCGGTGAACATGTTTCTCTATCTCTCAGTCTATCTTGGAAGGATAATGCATGATATTTTTATGCACTTACGGTTTTGTAGAACATACACGCTTGACGATCCTCGTCCTCTCCGGTTGGACAATCGATGAATCCATCGCAGAGTACGTGATCGTCGATACAACGATATCTTCCCATTCTGTCGGGCGTGGGACAGGCGAATCTCTCCATGCCATCCTCCGATGATGGACACTCTGAAAATATCAATTTTCAATGGGTTAGGGGAGCCATTGTTGCACAGTGGTGATGCATTTTTGAAATATCGGGGAGAGATATGGGAAAATAAAGGCGAACGGTGGAGATGAGGATGAAATTTTGAATAGAGTGGAGTTTATGGGCCGAGGGACGAGTGACCTTTTCCCACTCCTCTCATCTGACCATTACGATGAACATAAAATGAAATGCAGTAAAAGTTGTGATACGTCTTTTTATCCTCGTTGTAGATGAAGCAACATCCGAGGAAGATACGCGGAGAAGGAAGTTCCGGAAAGAGTATCATGGAAATCCTTTCTAAAAAAACGCAGGGACAATCCCGAGTCGAGGATTTGGTTCTGATTGGACGTACACAGGTCTTTCAAGATCTCTCCAGACCTAGATGGACCTGGTAAGTCCTAATCAGTTCTGCGACGTACTTTTCCAGAGACCATTCGAATCCTCAGTTCTTTTCGGTCCTGAGAAGTCCTCCTCGATGCTACCGAGAACGCGTGATTTTACGAGCGGGTGAAGGGGAAGGCATGTATGCGGAGGGTTGAAATTTGTAGCCAACGAGGAGACAGGGTTGCAGAATATATTTT